TGTGGTTCTGGATGATAGTTGTTCTGTATTTTAGTTGTAGCTTTTTTTGTGTTGTTTTTAAAAATATATATTTTATTGATTTTTTACAGAGAGGAAGGGAGAGGGATAGAGAGTTAGAAACATCGATGAGAGAGAAACATGGATCAGCTGCCTCCTGCACACTCCCTACTGGGGATGTGCCCGCAACCAAGGTACATGCCCTTGACCGGAATCGAACCTGGGACCCTTCAGTCCGAAGGCTGACGCTCTATCCACTGAGCGAACCCGGTTAGGGCTTTAGTTGTAGTTTTGAAGTGGTTGTGGGAGGCAGCAAGCACAGGTGTTTACCTATGCCGCCATCTTGGTTCTTCCCGCTGGTTACTCTTCTGCAGCATTAAGACACCTCTATGTATCCAACTTGGGGAGGTGGCATTGCTGTGTTCCCTGTGCGGCCCTGCATCCTCGCTGTGTTATTTAGGGTGCACATGACCTCACGGTGGGTTCTCAGGGCTCGGAGCGGAATTGCTGCTCCCGGTGCATGTTCTGCTGTAGTGATGCTGCCCCTGAACTTCCCAAAGGACCCAGCCCAGCCTCGTAGGCCATTGAATTTGAGTTGCATTAAGTCCATGAACGTTTCTGGCGGCAACTGACATCTTTATACACTACTGAGCTTAAAAACTAAGTGGAATATTCCTTCCTGGGGTTGTTTACGGAGTCTCCGTGAAGTGTTATTTTCATCATCGAGGCCTGAGGTACATATTTTTGAAGGTTTATTTCTAGTGCTTTTTTATTGTCTAACATTTTGGATGGTATTTAAAAAAAAATCTGTCCTATTTATAGGATTTGGTTGACATATTACTTTGTTATCAGTTGGTTCTAAATTTTGAGCCAGGGACCTGTCTCAAATTGTTAAAACTCTGTAACTTTTCTGAACATTCCTTGGGGCTTGATCGTTGGAAATGTAATAAAGTGCATGGTTGCCTTGTTTCCTGCAGAGCCTGTGAGTGTTGCCCCCTCCTTTGATACCCCCACCCCACCCCACCCCGGTAGGGTAGGAGCCCTGCTCACCCCTTCTCCATCATTGGCTTCCTCTACCATCCCCTGGTAACCATCCTGGCCCCTGCGTCTCCCACAGCTGGTTCTCTGACCCTGTCCTGGTCCCATTTAGCAAATGCTCCAATCCTCTTAGGCCCCGCCAGCCTCCCCAGAATAGAAAGAATTAGATCCGATTTGGGGGCCTGGCGGGGGGAGGAGGGCACTCATGTGAATGGCTCTAGAGGGGAGTGCTGGGGTGGGGGAGGGGAAGACAGACCGCCAGGGTGTAATGAAGGCCTCTCCTGTTTATCTGACGCTAAAACCACTGAAACCACAACTCCATTCAGACCCCTTGGCAGGAAGAAATTGAAATTTCCATCTACCTCAGGAGAGGAAGCTGAGGTGGGGGAGTCCGGGGAGGGGGGGAGAGGGCAGGAGATGAGATTCAGGTTCACACCCTGGGCAGGGAGCAGGGAGGGTGGTGCCCCTGGGGTCCTCCAAGCATCCAAGGACCATCAGCGAATGGAACCGGAATGAATGTTTTAACGAATGGAGATAGAGTTTGGCTTAGTCCTGACCAGCTGAGTAGAAAACGGCTGGATTGCCAGTAAGAGAAACCAGATCCCTCTCTTCCTCATCTTCTCAGTTCCATCTCAGCTCTTCCCCAGCAGGACCAGCAAACCCCTTCGAACCTCCTCCTGAATTCTCCCATCTCCTAGGAGGCTCCACCCACCTCTCCTCACAAGCCCAGCTGTGCCCTGACCATCCCCCATGAAATCATCCAGACTGCCCCCTCAGCTCAGGATGGAGGAGGGTGGTGACTTGCTCAAGGCAGGTCTTGGAACGTCCCCATATCTGGGTCTTCCAGGTTAGCGCCAGAGCAAGAATTTCCCTTTGTTTGTGTACCCGTAGCACTAATAATAATAATATAAGATAAATTGTTGCACCATCAATCACATGGCTGTGGGTAGCCCCCACCTGGCCAGTCCCCTCTCTGCCAGCAGCCGCTCCCATGTGCTGACAGCGCCGGCCCCGCTTGCACCCACTGAAGGCATGGAGTGATTGGGGCTGGTGCTGTCAGTGGGTGTGAGCAACAGCTGCTGCCCCGATCACCCCTCAGGAGCAGGGGGAGGTGGAGAAGCCCTCATGGGCGATCAGGGTCTGCAGCCACTGTTCACACCCGCTGATGGCACAGAGCGAGTGGGGCCAGCACCGACAGCAGGTGCAAGCGCCGGGCGGGACTGTGGTGCGTGGAAGCAAATAATTTTCAGTAACCACCAGAGGCTCACCCCAGTGGCAGCAACCGACACCCCACCTTGGTCTGTCACCCCTGCTCACGTGCTCCACCATCCCACCTTGGCCCACACCTGCCATGTTCTGTGCATGCCCCCTGGTGGTCAGCACACGTCATAGCGACCGGTTATTCGGTTGTTCCGCCATTCAGTCTATTTGCATATTAGCCTTTTATTATATAGGATTTTATTGATTTCAAAGAGGAAGGGAGAGGGAGAGAGAGAGAAAGAAACATTAATGATGAGAGAATTATTGACCTGCTGCCTCCTGCACACCCCCTACTGAGGATCAAGCCCGCAACCTGGGCATGTGCCTTTGACTGGAATCAAACCTGCTACCCTTCAGTCCACAGGCCAATGCTCTATCCACTGAGCCAAACCAGCTAGGGCTGACACCTGGAGTTTTAACATTCTGATGCCCCAGGCCAGGTAAGCAGTGTCTCTGGGAGTGGGTCTTGGGCACCAGTGTGTTTAAAGCTCCTATGGGACCCTGACTGGTGTGGATTAGTGGTTAGAGCGTTGGCCAAGCACTGAAGGGATGCAGGTTGGATTCCCAGTCAAGGTCATGTACCTGGGTTGCATGTTCCACCCCCTGCCCCAGTTGGGGTGGATGTGGGAGGCAACTAATCAATGTGTCTCTCACACAGATTTTCTCTCTCTTTGTCCCTCACTTCCTTACACTCTTTAAAAATCAATGAAAAAAATATCCTCGGGCGAGGATTAACAACAACAAAAAGTTCCCAAGGGATTTTAAGGTGCAACTCTCGGTCAAATTTCTGCTGAGGAGTCGACGGACTCAGATAATATATTGCTGTCATTATTGAGACCAGACCTAGACTTTATTTCGTAAAAAGAAAATTCAAACTCACGGTATCTTATTCCACCTAAAATATCAAGTGCTATAAAAAGAAAGATTTTTTAAATGGTCACCATTGTTTTTTATAGTAAATGAATACAGTATCTGCCCATAATTTTGCTTGTAAAAAAAAATTTTTTTAAGCATTGTTTGATGCTGTACTTGAAAATCCTCTAAATAAAAGGCCTAACAGGAAATAACTCTAAACTAATGCCGTTTTTAAATTGTTGTCACAGTGAACAACTTGCAAGAGACACAGTTGAGTCAGATCAAAGATGCGGTTCATTCAGGGGCATCGGTATGTCTGGGAGAGACTGGGTGTCCACATACCTGTTGTGATGCCTTCTGGCCAGCAGGGGGCACCAATACGCCACTGCTCCAGAGCTGGAGACCTTGGGTGAGATGGGAGAGCTGTTCCACATTCAAGCGGGAGAAAAGCAGAGAAAAGACACAGAGGTGACATTACCCTAGTATTTGTTTCCACTGGTATCATTCAAAGCTAAAGCCAAACATCTGGGAAATGCTAATTTGGCAAGCATTTGGATCCATGGCAGGTGGGAATTTAAGTTGAAACAGCCCCTTTGGAACCCCGACTAAACCCTGACGCACACACGGCTTTATGGACCCAAAGTTCCAGTCCTGGGCGCCTACCCAACAGAAATGTTCACCAAGAGACACACAAGAAGGCACATTCAAACGCGCATTACGGATTATCAGCCCAAACTAGAAACTTCCCAGATGCCCATGAACGATGTAATGAACCAAGTAAATTTCGGTACAATCACCCAATAAAATACTCTCTGTGAGCACAAAACACTTAAGATGGTGAGATGCACCATCTTAACAAATTGTAAATGCACAATACGGTATCGTTAACTAAGGGTACAGTGTGGGTACACTTCGGCAGCGGTTCTAGAAGTTTTCATCTTGTATAACCGGAACTTTGTACCTTTTGAACAGCAACTCCCATTATCCCTCCCCCAGCCCTTCGCAACCACCATTCTACTCTCTTTCCAGGCATTTGGCTTTCAGATTCCTCACCTAAGTGAAACCATGCACTATTTGTCCTTCTGTCTGGCTTATTTCACTCAGCATAGTGGCCTCCAGCTTCGTCCATGTTGTCGCAATGCGCAGAACTTCTTTCTCGAAGGCTCGATAATCCTCCATTGCTGTAGAGATCACATTGCCTTTACCCATTCATTGTCGAACGTGTCCCAGGATAGAGCACATGTTAGGCCACAGCAGTGTTTTAAACAGGGAAAACTTGATAGGGAAGGAACCCAGATTCATCCCCAGGAGAAGGGATCACTAAAATATGTCTCAAGACTAAAATATTAAACCAGTTATATAAGCAACATGGGTGAAAACCACATATAAAATACTGAATCCAAATGTTAGTTGATGAATGCATCATACAGCATGCCATTTATCTAAGATCTAAAAGCCTCCATAAATACCACATATTGTTTATGGTCAAACACCACATAGTAAGAGAATAATGTGAGGTGAGGAATTATATACTGCAAGGTCATGATAATAGTAACCAACTGGGAAGATACCCAGCTTCTGTCATTTAATTTTTTATTTTTATAAAAAAAAATTTGGCATAGCTTTGGGTAATACTTGCATTCTGTAAGTATTAAATATTTTTTTTAAAAGCTTGGATGCCGTGCAGTGAATTATAGGTATCCTGGTAATTTTTTTAATTTTATTTTTTATTGATTTCAGAGCAGAAGGGAGAGGGAGCGAGAGAAACATCAATGATGAGAATCATTGATCAGCTGCTTCCTGCACGGCCCCTACTGGGAATCGAGCCCAAAACCTGGGCATGTGCCCTGACCGGGAATCAACGGTGACCTCCTGGTTTATAGGTTGATGCTCAACCACTGAGCCACACTGACTGGACTACCCTAGTAATTTTTAACAGTCAAGTCGTCAAAGTTCAGAAATCTGATGATTCAAAGCTCCAGGATGAAGTAACAGGTTTTATGCAATTGCCAGCAGTCATTCACATGTACACAGGCAGGAGAACAAATATTTATCTCCGTGAGCTCTAGACATCTTTGAACATTATTCCCATGGGAACAGCTCTGGAGGGAGGCCTGCCATCTTCTCCCGGAATATCCTGTCAAAGACTTCAGCTTGGGCCACTGTGAAGTGATTTTTCCAGTCTCCAGAAATGCCTGGCAAACATAAAATAGAGACTCATATCAGATGGAGGGGTAGGTCCCAAGGCCCCAAGACATCTCCTTCTCGACCGATCCCTCTCTCCCCTTGACATGGAAATTGCAGCTAATATAGCAGAAAGGCCAGTGGGTCATGGTGGGCCTTTGACTGCCTGCAGTCTTACCCATTTACACATTCACCTCGTCTGGCAACTGTTTCTGACCTTCTCCTCTCTCCCAACCTACCATGTACACAATTCATCAGTGATACATGCAGCTCTGTGTTCTGATGCAGCTAGAAGCGCGACACTTCTCACCACTTCTCTTGCTACCACCTTGGCCCCAGCCAACCTCATTTCTCACCTGTATTATTGTATTAGACTTTTAATGAGACTCTCTGTTTTGAGTCTGTCTCCTTTATAAGCTTCCTCAGCACATCAGCTACCTAGATTCCTAGAGAAACAAGATGACCTGATTCCAGATCATGTCACTTCCTGCTCCACTTCTCCAAGGACTTGTGGTTTCACTCAGTGAACGTGCTTATGGCTTCCACGGGGCTTCTGGTGATTTTGTCCCCTCTCAATTCTCTGACTCCATCTCTCTTTTTAAAATATATTTTTATTGATTTCAGAGAGGAAGGAAGAGATAGAGAGAGATAGAAACATCAATGATGAGAATCACTGATGGGCTGCCTCCTGCACACCCCCTGCTGGGGATAGAGCCCACAACCCGGGCATGTGCCCTTGACCAGAATTGAACCCAGGACCCTTCAGTCCGCAGGCCAACGTTCTATCCACTGAGCCAAACTGGCTAGGGCTGACTCCATTTCTTATGGCCATCCGCTTGCTTACTCAGCTCCATCATGTTGAGTCTTCTCATTCTGCCTTAAACATGCTAGGCATCCCCCCTTCTCAGACTATTTGAAGCAAAAGATTTTGACATCAGAAGCCATGCTCTTAATTTATTATTATATTATTTTTATATCATATAAATTAATACTTAGATGTTATATTAATATATTAACTAAATTAATACATTGATTAAATTAATATACAACAGAATAATATATAATCATATATAAATTAGTAATATATATTATATACTTATATGCACAGAAATCACATAACAGAATGTCTAACAAATAATTGGTACCCTATAAACATCTGCTGTTACTCTTGTGTTCATTACCTTCATTACTAGAACAATTTTTATTATAATAGATTCTTATCCTCCATAACACACCTAACTTGGAGTGAGCCAGATTGAGCGCTTGAGAAACCAGAATCTTTGTAAATTCAATATGGCTACCCTGTTTGCAGCATCAGATCGAGAGAATGTTTCTGTGCAGGTGAACCTGCGGAACAAAACATATTGTCTGCTTCCCTAATACAATGGTATGGTCCTGGCTGGGTAGCTCAGTTGGTTAGAGCATTGTCCTGATACGCCAAGGTACGGATTGGATCCCTGGTCAGGACACATACAAGTATCAAGCAATGGCCCTGGCCGGTGTGGCTTAGTTTGTTGGGCATCATCCTGTGCACCAAAAGGTTGCCAGTTTGATTTCTGGTCAGGGCACATGTCTCCTTTATAAGCTGGGTTGGAGGCGTGGTCCCAGTGGGTGCATGCGGGAGGCAGCCGATCAATGTTTCTCTCTCTCTCTCTCTTTCTCTCTCTCTCTCTCTCCCTCCCTCTCCTGTCCTCTCTCTCTAAAAATCAATTTTAAAATCTTTTTAAAAACATCAACCAATGAATGCATAAATAAGTGGAAAAACAAATCAATGTTTCTCTCTCTCCCTTCCACTCTCTCTAAAAGCAATAAATGAACATTTTAAAAATTACAATGGGCCCTGAGAGGTGTGGCTCAGTCGGTTGGAGTGTTGTCCCAAACACCAAAAGGTTTTGGACTCTATTCCCAGTCAGGACACATACGTAGGTTTTGGGTCCAATTCCCCAGTTGGGGCACATACCAAAGGCAACCAACCAGTATTCTCTCTCACATCATTGTTTCTCTCTCCCTTCTCCTCTCTCTAAAACAGCGGTTCTCAACCTGTGGGTCGCTACCCCTTTGGGGATCGAACGACCCTTTCACAGGGGTCACCTAAGACCATCGGAAAACACATATATAATTACATATTGTTTTTGTGATTAATCACTATGCTTTAATGATGTTCAATTTGTAACAATGAAAATACATCCTGCATATCAGATATTTACATTACGATTCATAACAGTAGCAAAATTACAGTTATGAAGTAGCAACGAAAATAATGTTATGGTTGGGGGTCACCACAACATGAGGAACTGTATTAAAGGGTCGCGGCATCAGGAAGGTTGAGAACCACTGCTCTAGATTGTAAGGATGGAGAATCAGTCTCTTTGTCTTGATGCTCTGGCCTCCTGGCCCACTGGGGTGGTGTCCCCCAACCCCTCTGCCCTGGGTGGTGGCCCCACCTATTCGAGGTCTTTTGAAGCATTTAATTTCTTTCTTCCATGGATCATCCTGGATAGACTTGAACTATAGGGCTCTGGGGAAATGGGCTCCCCCTCTTCAATGCAGTGGACATACTTCACTCATCTTTAGCCCAAAGATATGAACACGATTAATCATTCCCCACAGGGTCTGATCGCAAGACAGGCTCTCAGCGAAGAGAAAAGTCTCTCCTCTCTTGTCTTTCTTCTCTCCAGTTGAGTCATTGTTTATACATTTCGTTGTTCAGAATCATTCTCCATGCTAACTCAGCCATGGGGTGGCACCAACATGACCAACCGCACTCCTGTCCTCACTTCCCAGGACAATCACAGCTGGCAGGTTGGCAGGTGTGGAGAATTCACCTGGGCACCACTAGCAGAGTGGCTATCCCCCACACCAAATTCGTAGAAGGGATAATCTGAATGACCTGCCTAAGTCAGATGACCATTCCGGGTCTAATCAACTTCCTCCAAGTGTCTGCAGCCCACGCCAGTACTCTGAAAAGAGACTCCCTGATAAGAGCATGTGAGAAGTTCTCTGGGTGATGAACAGTTAAGGTTGATAAGCTCAAACACTCCCTAGTCCCAGCTGCTAGTGTCCTGCTGTAAGCACAAGAATGCCCTCTACCCCTCTACATACATATTCTGAAGTCGGACCATTTTCTTTTACCTTTTCTCATAAGTGACCCATTCTTATCCTCTATAAGCCTATAAGCCAGGAGAGTGTAATTGGACATCTTGTTTTCTTTCATGACCTGGAAGGAGCTATGCTTGAGGAGTGAGTTCAGTTCTTCTGGTTCTAATTTCTTGCCCAGGAAGCGACAGATCTTCTGTACAACACTTCTTGTGTCCTAGAAGAAGAAAGAGCAAAAGAGAGGATATGAAAGACAAAGAGCATAGACAGGAGATGAGAAGGAGGGAATGAATGGCAGAATGAGGAGCAGGAGAAGGAGGAGGGAGAGGAAGAGAGGGGCAGCACAGAAATGAGAAGTGGTGAGTGGAATGTGACCAGGATGAAGAAAGAGGAGAAGGTGAAAAGAAAGAGCAAATGTCAAGGTTGTGGGTTCAGTCCCCAGTTGGGGTGCATATGGGAGGCAACCAGTCCATGTTTCTCTTTCTCCCCCTTCCTTTTTCTCTAAAATCAATGCAAACATTAAATAAAAAGGTATCAGGAAACAAAGAACATATGAAGAAATAGAGCATGGCGCTTGGGGGTGCCAACCAGAAGTGGGACGATAGAGACCAGGGAGCTTCTTTCACTCCTCACGACCCTTCACAAGGCTAAACTTCGACTGAGAAGGTGGACTAGAGACACAGAGGAGTCGATGGAAGCTAGAGGGAGTGATGATGGTGATGAGACTGTGTGCTAACCACAGGAGCAATAGTTACCTGTTTTAGCTCTTCATAACTCACTATCAAAACGTTCTCCTGCCCTCTCAAGGACATCCAGCCACGGGTGTGGTCAAACCACGATCCAAACGCCACTGCGTGGGGGAGGCAGAGAGAGCTGTGGGTTACAGACTGTGACAGCAGGGACCCACCTGTCATGTTCAGTCTTGTGGGCACACTTGCTCACACCGTGTCCAGCACATAACTATTTGCTGAATGAATGAGTGTAGAGATGGGAAATTATTATCCAACATCAGGCATTTACCTTGTATGAGCCTAGTTCATTGAGAGCAGACTCTGTACCCAGTTTTCCTATTTTAAAAATTTTTTGGAATTGATTTTAGAGAGAGAGAGAGAGAGGAAAGGAGGGAGAGAGAGATCTGTTGCTCCACTTATTCGTGTACTCACTGGTTGATTTCTTTTTTTATATAATGTGTTTTTTTATTGATTTGAGAGAGAGAGGGAGAAAGAGAGAACATGGATTGGCTGCCTCCTGCATGCCCCCTACTGGGCATCAAGCCTGCAACCATGGCATGTGCCTTGACCTGGAATTGAACCAGCAACCTCTTGGTGCACAGACAACACTTGGTGCACAGAGAGAGAGAGAGAGAGATATGTTGTTCCATTTATTTATGCTTTCATTCATTGCTTTTTGTATGTGCCCAGTCTGGGGACTGAACCCACAACTTTGGTGTATCGGGGGGATGCTCCAACCAACTGAGTTACCAACCAAGGCTGTCCCCAATTTCCAAGGGTCTCTAAGAAGACCTTGTCAGAGCCATGTGGCCAAACAAGAATGGTATTCTTGCTGCCCCAAATCTGTTCACCATGTAGAATTTTGGGTTGTCTTCTTGCTATCATTATTGCTGTTGTCATTACTGTTCCTTTGGAAATTATCTGCCTTTTCTCTGGTTTAAGATTTTCTTTCCCTTTTTCCCACTGCAGCTTTCCTAGAGACCAGGTGAAGAATAATTTGTCATAATTCTTTGTGAGGTTGGTGTGGTTCTTCAACCTGAGACTCCATCGATGCAGGAAATTCTCAGGCATGTCTCCTTGAAAACTGCCTTTCCCTGTATTTTATATTATCTTCTCAGGAGGTAAATCTTCTCACTCCATCCTCTATATTTTAACTATTTTATACTTTTTAATGGTTGTCTACCATACCTAACCCCTTCTTGACCCCAAAGTGTACTGGGGAATTATCAGCTGAGAATTCTACTCAGTTCATCTGTCACTCAAAAATGAGCATAGCTCTGGCCAGTGTGGCTCAGTTGGTTGAGTGTCATCCCATGCACTGAGAGGGCACCGGTTCAGTTCCCCAGGTTGTGGGCTTGATCACTGACTGGTTGGGGGCATGCAAGAGGAAGCTGATCAATGTTACTCTTTCACATTGATGTTTCTCTATCTCTCTCTCCCTTTCCCTTCCTCCCTCTCTATAAAATCAATAATAAAAATATTTTTTAAAATCTTCAATAAAATATTGTTAACTTGAATACAAGAGCATATTGAAAGAATTATACACCATGGGATGCACTGCTATTCAATATTGCCCTAGAGCCCTGGCCAATGAGGTAAAAGAGAAAAAATAAAAGCAATATATAGGTATTAGAAATTAAGATAATAGTCATTACTTGAAGGTTACATTTATGCTTCCTAGAGAACCAAAGTTAGAATTAAGAAGAGAGTTCATTCAGATCAACATTTAAAATCAGTTACATGCCCCAAATTAGGTACAAACAACTGGAAAATCCTATACAATAAAAGGGTAATATGCAAATCAACCGAACGGCCAAACGACCAGTCTCTATGATGTGCACTGACCACCAGGGGGCAGACACTCAACTCAGGAGCTGCCCCCCTGGTGGTCAGTGTGCTCCCACAGCCAGAAGCTGGGATCACAGCTGGTGAGTGCAGCAGCAGTGGTGGGAGCCTCTCCCACAGCAGCGCTAAGGATGAGTGGGCCTAAGCTGTCAGTCAGACATCCCCTGAGGGCTCCTGGACTGCAAGAGGGTGCAGGCTAGGCTGAGGGACCCCCCTCCCCCGAGTTCACAAATTTTATGCACTGGGCCTCTAGTGTAATATAAAGATGTCATGATCTAAGTAGAAATGAAATGCATCCAAAAAAGAATTGAGGCTCACTCTCCCCTACCCAGGAGCATGCCTGTGCCTTTCCCTTCCCCTCTCCCCTTCTTCTTCCCCCACAGGCCTGCATCTCCTAAGCTCTAAGGGTCCCCAGGAGACTTGCAACCAGGGCAGCAATGGGCTCCTCCCAGGCTAACCCCCTGAACCTGTCTCCAAGACCCCTTTTCTCTGGCTTGCACCATTGGGTTTCACTGTTGCCTTTTTCTTCTGAAAGAGTAGCCTGAAGCAAAGCAGGAGATGGGGCTGAGGAGTTCAGCCAGGATCAGCTCAACAAGCAATATGACTGTGGATTTGCAACAGCATGGATGGAACTGGAGAGCATTATGCTAAGTGAAATAAGCCAGTCGGAGAAAGATCAATATCACATGATCTCACTCATATGTGGGATATAATGATCAACATCATTTGATGAACAAGAATAGATCCAGAGACAAATAGTAGCGGGGGGGCAGTTAGAGAGCAGCCAAAGGACTTGTATGCATGCATACTAGCATAACCAATGGACACAGACACGGGGGGGGGGGGGGCTTGCCGGGGGTGGGAATGGCTGGGGTAGGGGGTGTCAATTGGGGGAAAAGGAGACATATGTAAAACTTTAGACAAAAAAAAGAAAGAAATACGACTGTGGGCTTTGAAAATTGACCTTTATGCTGAGGGCAAACACTTCAGGGACTGTGTACTTGTCCACACGTAACAGGTGATTGCGACATAGCCTAGAAAGACTAAAGGGCATGCAGGCAGGACACCGCCAAGTCTGTTACGTTAATCTAGGTGGGGAGTAGTAGTGAAAGGGATCGCAAATAAATACTCATTATCTAGCGAAGGTGTATTAGCTGCTTACTGTGTAGCAAGCACCACTGGAGGACCTGGGGTCAACAATGAACAACCCAAAGGGCTCACATTTTAGTCGGGGAGACAGGCGGAATAAACAAAGAGTCAGAATACATACTCATCGATGATGAGTACTAAGAGGGGAGATAATACTATAGAGATGGGGAGGGGGCTATTTTATATTGTGTTGAAAAGGGAGATTTCTCTAAATACAGAGGCATTTTAGCAGAGACCAGGATGAAGACATTACTCAAGGTTGTGAGATTTGGATAAAGGAAAGAGGTGAGGGGCCTGGGGAAGTGGAGCAGAAAAAAGATAACACTTGGGGACCTCACACTCATGCCCTTGGATGAGGGATGGTTCTATCCTATATAATAAAAGGCTAATATGCAAATCGACCGAACAACAGAATAACCGGTCGCTATGATGCACACTGACCACCAGGAGGCAGACACTCAACGCAGGAGCTGCCCCCTGGTGGTCAGTGTGCTCCCTCAGAGAGAGCGCCGCTCAGCCAGAAGCCCTGAGCCGGGCTCAAGGCTGGCGAGTGCAGCGGCGGTGGTGGGAGCCTCTCCTGCCTCTGCAGCAGCGCTAAGGATGTCCAATGTCCAACTGACGGCTTAGGACATCCTCCGAGGGCTTCCAGATTGCAAGAGGGCAAGGGCCGGGCTGAGGGACCTGCCCCCAAGTGCATGAATTTCATGCAGTGGGCCTCTAGTTTATTTAATGAGATAAATACGCAGTAGGAGCCATTGGGGGCAATGCGTTCGATCTTGGACACATTGAATTCGAGGTTCCTGTGGTTCTCCAGGCAGATGTCCGTAGGCTTTAGAGAAACAGGTGTGAAGCCAGGGAGACGTGTCACTGCTGAACTATGGGGCTCATCATATAGTTTTGGGGGAAAGTGCAAAATTTCAATGATCTGAGAAAGCCTAGAGACTCTGCGTAATGAAAAGGATGGAGATCCGAGGGTGACACATACACCTTTGAGACCAAAAGGACCAGAGGATAAGGGGAGCTTGATAAGGATGCATCTGGAAAAACGGTGGCAAGTCAGGCTTGTGTTGTTCAGCAGCCCAATGAAAAGCGGACTCTTAGAAAGCCACACGTGGGAAGGGAGAGGGGAAGCTGAGTGCTCCGTGTTTGTATCAGGCAGCTGGGGTGTGGTGAGGGGCCAGCTGAGAGGCCGGCTGGGGCTCTGATCGGAGAGAGGCCGTGGAATTAGAAGCCTTGGGTTCCAATGGTGATGGGCCCTGTCCCCCAGGGGAGTGGGATGTGGACCAGCAGGTGGGCTATGCCATGAGGTCTGACGAAGGACCCTGACAACCCCCCAGCTGCCATATTTTACATATTTTCACTCACCGTGTCCTTGTGTGAACCACTCGAAATACTGTTCCAGGGACTCTGGTCTCTTCACGAACTTGGAAATAATCCAGAAAAAGTAACCAGACACGAGAATATCTCTGGGATTTCGGATGAGATAAATCACCTGGAAGAGAAAAGTGGGACGATGAAAGTTTCCCATCCTTCCACATCTTCACAAAAACAGAGAACAAAAAGCCAGTTCCTAGAAAACGCCTATTAAATATCAATGGGTTCTTTATTTTATTTTTTTGCTAATCCTCACCCGAGGTTATTTTTCCATTGATTTTTAGAGAGAGTGGGCGGGAAGGGGAGAGACAGAAAGAGAGAAACGTTGATGTGTGAGAGTCACATCAATTGGCTGCCTCCCACACATGCCCCGACCAAGGACAGGGATCAAGCCTGCAACGGAGGTACATGCCCTTGACTGGAATTGAATCTGCGACGCTTCAGTGATTGGCTCTAACCACTGAGCAAATTAGCTAAGGCTCAATGGATTCTTTTTTTAAAATATATTTTTATTGTTTCCAGATAAGAAGGGACAGGGAGAGATAGAAACATTAATGATGAGAAAGAATCGTTGATCAGCTGCCTCCTGCATGCCCCCTACTGGGGATCGAGCCTGCAACCTGGGCATGTGCCCTGCCCGGGAATCAAACTGTGACCTCCTGGTTCATAGGTCAACTGACGCTCAACCACTGAGCCACACTGGGTAAGGCTCAATGGATTCTTTTAATAAGTTAGCTATTGCATTCGTTAGTCAAATACATATTTTAAAGTTCCCGGGATAATATCAAGAATATAACAATGGAAAAAGAAAGCATCGTCCCTTTCTTCTGGGACATTATGTCTACGCACGTTGGGAAGCAACCAGAGGTTTTGGAAGGTGAGCGGTATTATATTTACTTTCTATAGTTTAAAGATTACTAATAGGAGGAAGGACTAAGAAGTCATGCTACATTCACCGATACTCAGCAGACGTTTGTATGGTCTAAATGTATGTAAGTGACTTTGGAGGATGAGCAAACGAATCTATAGAGTTAGAGTCAGCAGGTGGTCGCCGCTGTGGGTGAGCACTGATTGGGAAGCGCGTGAGGGAATTTTGGGGGGGAGAGTAAAAATATGCCACATCTGGATCTGAGAGGTAGCTACGCAGCTGTGTGCATAGGCAAGGATTCAACAAGCTGATACTCCAGGTTGGTACACAGACAGGCACAAAGGTGCAAGAATTCGGATTCAGCACCAACTTTCTTTGTGACGTGATTCCAGGCCCCAGCTCTCTCTAGGCCTCAGCTTCCCCACACGGGGATTTAACAAACACCGAGAAATCACAATGTGAATATGCTTAACACTATTTATAATAATAGGTGTGTCATAAACAAGCTTGAGAAGTGACAGGTTAAAACAAAACAAAACATTTCATTTTCTTTCTCCAATTGCCTATTGAAGGACACTTGGGTTGCTCCATGTCTTGGCTAATCTATATAATAAAAGGCTAATATGCAAATCAATTGAAAGGCCGAACAACCGGTTGCTATGATGCGCACTGACCACCAGGTGGCAGACACTCAATGCAGGAGCTGCCCCCTGGTGATCAGTGTGCTGCCACAGGGGGAGTGCCTCTCAGCCAGAAGCCAGGTTCATGGCTGGCGAGTGCAGTGGCGGTGGCAGGAGCCTCTCCTGCCTCCGCAGCAGCGCTAAGGATGTCCTAAGCCGGTAGTCAGACATCCCCCGAGGGCTTCCGGACTGCGAGAGGGTGCAGGCCGGGCTGAAGGACCCTGCCCCTGAGTGCACAATTTCGTGCACTGGGCCTCTAGTTGTAAATAATGCTGCAATGAACACAGGGATACATATGCCTTTTCAAATTAGTGTTTTAGATTTCTTTGAGGATGTAAAGTACAGCAAAGGGAATATAGCCAGTAATATTATGGTAATATGTCTGGTGCCAGGTGGGTACTAGACTTAGTGGGGACCCCTGCATAAGTTATACAAATGTCTAACCACTATGCTGTGCACCTGAAACTATTGACTAGCAACTGTAATTGAAAAATAAAAAAAATTTTTTTAAAAGCTTCATGGTGCTGTCACACATTGTGAACTCTCCGAGAGAAGAGAACATTATTCTAAGCTTCGCCATCGAATTTAAGCATAAAACATATTTTTAAGTCACAAACCAATGCGCACCTTCCAGGAAGGGGTGTTTCTAAAAGTCATCTGAGCTATGCCAGGTCCTGGATTTCCACATCCCTTCTGGGGATCATCGGTTAGCCCATGAGAGATTCGTGTGTCTGCTACTCCCAATAGACAGCTAGACATAGGAAGATACAGCGGTTAGTAAAACCATTATGATGCCCAATAGACGGCTAGACATAGGAAGACACAGTGGTTAGTGAAACCATCAATCATAATGCCCAATAGACAGCTAGACATAGGAAGACACAGCGGTTAGTAAAACCATCAATCATGATGCCCAATAGACAACTAGACATAGGAAGACACAGCGGTTAGTAAAACCATCATGCATGATGCCCAATAGACAACTAGACATAGGAAGACACAGCGGTTAGTAAAACCATCAATCATGATGCCCAATAGACAACTAGACATAGGAAGACACAGCGGTTAGTAAAACCATCAATCATGATGCCCAATAGACAACTAGACATAGGAAGACACAGCGGTTAGTAAAACCATCAATCATGATGCCCAATAGACAACTAGACATAGGAAGACACAGCGGTTAGTAAAACCATTATGATGCCCAATAGACAACTAGACATAGGAAGACACAGCAGTTAGTAAAACAATCATGATGCCTGAGCATTCAACCCAGACTTGGCCTTGAATTATGAATTTCCTGCCTCTCTAGCAGCCAAACTCAGTGTCTGCTGCTTCTACCTGAGTGGCAGGAGGCAGTTTTTTTAATTGAGATCGGCTAATTATTTTTTAGAGCAACAAAAGAGGAGTCGTCTAGTATGGAACACAGTTATAAATTCTGCTTGGGTTTAAAACGTGGTTTTCTGAGATCCTGGCATCACCATTTTGCTTTGCCTCTGGTTTACCTCTGTCACAAGTACGGACCGTGGCCTCGCCAAATGTGCACTCTCGGCCCCACCCCAGACCTATTGGGTGGCATGGCCACTCTGCCAGGTCTCCAGGTAATTCCCAGGCACATTGGAGTTGGAAAAGCAGGAATCAAACATAGCTCGACCATTGTGCACTGACCTTGGTCTTGGACTTGAAGATAGACTTGGGGAAGAGGTGGATGGGGACATGGGAGGTGATGAGGCGTGGGCCTTCCTTATCCTTTAGGATTTGATACCCATGCGTGTTCTCTACCCAGGGAGAGCGTTCCCAGATAGGCACAGATTGGACCCACGCGGGGTCTCCCTTGGAGTATATCAGGCAGAGGATTTCAACCAACCAGTTCGTTCCTGGATAAAGAAGGAAAAAGAATGGTCACTCATTCTTACCATCTGACTTTTAAAAACAGTGTGATAAACTGCACCCTCTTAACCACTTTCTGTTTTAAAATTTTATTTATTGATTGAATTTAGAGAGAAGAAGAAGGAGGAGGAGAAGAAGGAGGAGAAGGAGAAGGAGAGGAAGAGGAGGAGGGGGAAGAGGAAGAGGAGGAAGAGGAGGAGGAGGAGGAGGAGGAGGAGGAGGAAGAAGAAGAAGAAGAAGAAGAAGAAGAAGAAG